GATTCGAACTCATGCTCTTGGGATATCGAGACAACACCGCCTGCACTGTGTCCAGCGCTCTAGACCACTCGGCCACCTAGACTGAACTAAAAATTCAGCTTTCGGTGGCCTAGTGTTACCTTTCCTCGTCATTAGAATCTAGAATCTAGAGTTGTATCACAGTACATGATATATTAGTCTTGAAGATGGAATTGATTGCAGATTAGCTAAATTATCTGTCGTAAAGGATCGTAAGATGCCGTCACAGAAATAATCATATGATAAGTACCTCTAAACAATTGACAACTCTACGACAGATCCATTCATTGGATCACCAGTGAAGGTGATACACGGCTGAAAACACACATTATATTCATAATTACTCTAAATGTCAGCACAACAATGTTAAATCTGCAAATTTGCGGAAGCAAATTTTTGTTCTTCCCTCGCCGGGATTCGAACTCCTGCTATTGGGATATCGAGACAACACTGCCTGCACTGTCTCCAATGTTCTAGACCACCCGACCACCGGCGGTGTTGTCTCGATATCCCAATAGCATGAGTTGGAATCCCGGCGAGGGAAGAACAAAAATTTGCGGAAGCAAATTTGCAGATTTAACATTGTTGTGCTGATATTTAGAGTAATTATGAATATAATATATGTTTTCAGCCGTGTATCACCTTCACTGGTGATCCAATAGATGGATCTGTCGTAGAGTTGTCACTTGTTTAGACGTACTTAACTATATATATATATATATATATATACAAGTCTAAATTGAAAACAACGTTCAAGCCTATGATTGCGTTGGATAAAAACCGCAATTTTTATACGTATGCATGCAAAACAAATTTCTTGTTAGAGGGGTATAAATACAGCACAAACAACATTTTCCAAAAGACCAAAAAAGTGAAAAAGTATATTTTAACAAAACGCATTTGACTAACAGGTCGAACAACAAATGTTCTTAAATCCTGCTGACTGCCATTGGCGATTGCCAAATAAACGGATCACCGATGTAATAAATGGATCTGAATTATAAATTTAATACTAAACAGAAAACAATAAACTTGCGGAAAAGATGGTATACCGCAAACAAAAGGTGCAAAGGTTTTTGTACACCATATCCGGATTTCGACAATTAATGTCTCTTCAGTGATGTTAGGAATCGAAACGGTATTTGGAAAGCCATACAATTTACCTCAATTAAGGATAGACTCTTGAATTTTGAGGAGTCAAAATAGGATGAACGTATCATATAAACCCGAAGGCAAATATAATACAAGCCCAAACGAAAAAATATAAACAAGTCTAAATTGAAAACAACGTTCAAACCTATGATTACGTTGGATAAAAACCGCAATTTTTATACGTGTGCATGCAAAACAAATTTCTTGTTAGAGGGGTATAAATACAGCACAAACAACATTTTCCAAAAGACCAAAAAAGTGAAAAAGTATATTTTAACAAAACGCATTTGACTAACAGGTCGAACAACAAATGTTCTTAAACCCTGCTGACTGCCATTGGCGATTGCCAAATAAACGGATCACCGATGTAAAAATTTAATACTAAACAGAAAACAATAAACTTGCGGAAAAGATGGTATACCGCAAACAAAAGGTGCAATATAAGCTATCTACGTATCATATGAACGTAGATAACGAATTTATCCCCGGTCTTAGTCTAAATCTGGCGATTTTTAGAGAAATTCGACTACAAAGTTAAACGTGAAAGCAACGTTTTTTTCATTTTTAAATATCTTTTATTGAAATTTGGGAATTTGACATATTTTTAACGGGGTGTAGGGTACTACCTTTGGTAGAACCCTACAGGTGGACAAATATAAGACGTTTTTGAACTAGAGACAGAGAAACTGAAATGGGTCGAATTTGGCGCGCAATGTTGTGAGAGTTACATCATAAACGGTGTGACGTCAACGTGGGTCATTTGCATAGCTAGGTCAGTAGTACCATTCATTGACAATGTGGCTGCATAGTGATGCATTTACTAAAATGAGTGCAAATAATCGATATAATAAGATAAAATCGTTAGTGGATTAAATATTTAATTATAGACATCATGGAAAATCTACAGAATTCGATATTTCATAAGGAACAACCATGGAACTAAGGAAAACGCGCGTGAAATTCGCCGATGTAATGGGTAGCAACGTCCGGGGATATGGGTTAGCAACACCCAGGGGCTATGGGTTTTGTTACGACGTGCGTTAACCAATCAAACTCCTAGAAATATACTAAGCCGGGGATAAAGGTTTTTGTACACCATATCCGGATTTCGACAATTATAACGTCTAGATATTAGTCAATGATCTTTCTCACGAAGGCGCTGAATCGTTATGAGTAATGATACTGTACCAACTAAATAATTTATATATAGCTATGCCTAAATTCAAATTGTTTCATTTAAACAAATACATATACATTTACATAAAATCTGACGCCGTCACAGGGAGAAGGTGGCTAACGAATGTCACGACCATTTCCGCTTTTGACGCCTTTTGATACCATTAACTTATTATATGTTATATATAAGAAGGTGGCTAACGAATGACCGTCTACGTTTCAGACGCCTTTTGGTACAGAAACAAGTGCCTGTGGTTTAGAGCTTAAAATAAGCCTATACATGTTTCCTGTAATGCATGTGTAAACACTTTTTTATCATAAAAACGCTCTTCTCCTAGACATGTTAAGGAAAGTGTTTAAATCGTAGACATGTTTAAGCGGACAACATGTTTAAGTCCTGCTCTTTATCAAGAGAAAAAGAAGCCACATAAGAACTTAGATTGGGGTAAACACTCATTCAAACATAAATGATACATGCATTTAGTAGCCTATATAACATAATGAATCATCTTAAGTGAAATTTATTTAAAATCCAAGCTGCAAATGTAGTGAATTGAATCTTTTTTGCATTTTCGTTCGTTGTAGCCATTTAAAGAGCTACCTGTGAGGCATAATTCTCCTCACCAATCCATGAAGGGAACACACTTATTTCCAGTTTTCTTTTTCATTTCTACATGTAAAACATAAATGGCTGTGACCTGGACGAAAACTCCAACAAATTTGTTCATTGTTGAAGGCATTACACTAACTTTTAAAGTAAAGCCCCCGTCACACTAGACGAAGACCATGAAGATCCAACTACGATCTATGAAAAATTAAGATCGCGGTGAGATCGTGATATGGTCGGCTTGAATATTCAATATTTCATAGTTTTCACGTTCATACCACGACCTTGCTATGATCCTGCTACGATTCCGCTACGATAGTAACACGTTCTAGTTACGATCTTGTCACGCTCGTGATACGTTTAATAAGACCTTACCACGACTTGCACGATTTCTGTACGCTTCTAACAAGACCTTCCCAATCGCATTACGATCTCAATACGAGTCTACTACGTTGTCACTCTGGACTTCTAATAGCAACATACTTATCGTAGTAAGGTCGTACTAAGGATCGCAAGCGCGTAGTAGCAGCGTACTATTGTCTTCCTCGTCGTAGTAAAATCGTATCAATATCGTAGTAGAAGCGTAATAAAGACGTAGTGAAATCGGAATAGTCGCAGTGAAATCGTAGTAAGGTCACAGCGAAATCTTTTCCATTGGCTTCCCGATTGCAACGATGCTTCTACCCCGATCCCGATCTTACTACGTCCGTACTACGACCTTCTTACGCTTCTACTACAACTAGTTTTGGCCACTACTGCACTACGAATGTTTTGAGCATGTTCAAAGTTGGTCGTGGACCTCCACGATCATGAAGACCTTTGCACGTTCTACTACGACCTTACGACGACCACCACGATCTTACTACGACTTCCAAAATTTTTCATAATTTCTGAGGACGTAGCGGGGTCGTGGTCTGTGATGGGGTATAAAAAACTGTAAGAAAGGGTGTTCAACATTTTTATTTCTTCTATTTCTTATACATTCGTGTGACTTAATATCAAATATTTCCCCTATTCAAGCATATGGCCAATGATTGCTCACAAAAAAAACCCAGCATACTAATATTCAATGTATGAAAAATCTACCACAATCTAGTAATTTCGGCAGATTTCTACAACTGATATAAACATATGATAGGGAAGTTTTTCGAATGTAACAAATCCAGCAAAGACCAATGGACAAGGATGTCAAGAACTTATTCACATTGAAATCATTTTACAATATGAGCAATAAAAGAACTTTTTTTCAGATAAAGAAATCATATAACTAGCTTGTGCTCATCAGAAAAAAATGATTCGAAGTTTTCTTTAAATCAAATATACTTTTACCGGTATATACATAAATTAAAACATTTCTTAAATTGATCTCCAATGAAAACATGTTTTATTTACTTGAATGACATTAATCTAAAATGACACAAATCTTAAAGACAAACTAACTGAGTTCAAATTGATTGAAATAAACAAACTTTTAACTGAAACGGTCATATTAATCTGGATAGCTATAGATCTTAGAGGGCTGAAAAATAAACGATTCAAAGGAATGACCAGTCTTTCTGTTATTGTTGAGACTAGTTTACTGCGGTAAATTCAGCAATGTTCAGATAATTGGCTTCCAGTCAATTTAGATCTGTTCAGTCCATAATCAGGCTGTTCAGAAATTGTTATTTACCTAAATTGTATAGTCCTAAAAGCTACTGAACAGTACAGGACTGACAGCAAGCAGTATGTCTGAACAGTATTGAAGTACAAGAAAATTACTGAAAATAACATTAACTCCAATGAAGACTTTAAGTGTATTAATATTATTATAATTATTATTATTATTATTATTATTTTTATTATTATTATTATTATTATTATCATCAATATTATTATTATTATTATTGACATTTTATAATTTAGTTAAAGACTTGTCAGCGGTGATTTGTAAATAAGATCATTATTTTTTGTCAAAGTTATAAAAATGAAGTTCAAAAATGTTCTCGTCGTGAAGTTAATTTTCATTGCTTACAATGTGTTTATCCGTTCATGATCTTTATTTCAGGTGATTTGCGCTTAATTTCTGGAAGACTTGAAATATTTTACAACGAAACATGGGGCACAGTTTGCGACGACAACTTTGACGATGTTGATGCTCAAGTGGCTTGTAGAGAACTTGGATACAAGTTAGTGTATTTTTTTTATTTTTCAGATCATCAATCGATATTCATTGTATAAATGCAATGGTCTGTCACAAGGCATTGACGGTGGTATAGGTTTATTTCTATATTAATTTGATTACAAATATGATATTAGATATCCAAATTTCACCATACGTATATAATGATGGCAGGAGTTACCAGTGAAAGAGAACAAAGTCCGTATTATTTGCTGTTTTAGATTAATTTGTCATTTTTGTAATTTTAAACCGATTACTAATGCCATTAATTTTACAAGGTGTAATGTCATTAAACAATGATACACCAAAGACATACGAAGCGTTTCAGTAACTCTCTAGTTACACTCAAGCTATATTTCAAAATAATACCAAATGCTATTGACTGCTTTGTTAAAACCAAAACCTGAAGAAAAAGCAGAGAATGTCAACATTCCCGATGTTTGTCATTATATCTATACACTCTATAATTGAACTTATTTTCAATGTAAAAAGTGCAGGTTCTTCAGTTTTTAGGAAATATAGCTGGTAACAAAGTATGGTTTATGTATGGTGGCCGGTTAAGGCCATTTCGCGTTTTCGCCCTTCATATTCTATAGGGCGAAAACGCGAAAACGCGAAATCGCGAATTCAAAAACGCGAAAACGCGATATATGTTTTCTCTCCGATTTCGAGTTTCGACCTCGCATTTTCGCGTTTCGACTTCGCGTATTCGCCTTTTCGCGTTTTCGCAATTTCGCGTTTCCGCCTTTTCGCGTTTTCGCGTTTTCGCTATATCGCCTTTTCGCGTTTTTGCGATTTTGCGTTTTCGCGTTTTCGCGATTTCGCGTTTTCGCGTTAGGAATGCTGATATATATATTATTAAGTACATGTATTGTTAATTTTTTATTTCAGACTATTTTGTTATTTGAATAAACGTTTTAGTATGTTATAAATCAAATATGAGAATTTGAGTCTAATCGGTGAAAATGCTGCTAATGCCCCTTTAAGACATAGGTACTTGTCTCGGAAAAAAATCATAAATAAATGTGTTATGTCACTGTGTGCCTGTGATCATGGGGCCTACTGAGCGAGACCCTCATGGGTAGTCAATGCTGATTGTCTCATTATGTTTAATGTATAATAATTATATGAGACTACTTAAAATGAATAGAAATAGAACATTATATAGTGCGTTAACTGCAGATCAAGAATTTATCTAAGAAAAACCTGAAAATTCTGCCTTTCTACCCTAAATAAAATATTTAAAGTACTTAAACTTATATACAACAGATTTGACAGATAATAGTGCTTTAAAAATAGTCAATAAATGATACTAGTATAATCAATGGATGTGAAGTTAGCAGCCGGTTCGTTATTCGATATTCGATATTCAATATCCAACCGGCTGCTAGCAGTCGGTTCGATATTCAAATTTAGTTGAAAATCATAAAAAATATAATATTTGATAACATTAAAAGCATGATTTTTATAGTTAAAAGGAGTGAAAAGATACGTAGGAAATCGTTTTATGACCCCTTCAAGTTGTCTTAAACTCTCGTTGTCCTCAAATATAAACCCTTATCAATGCTTATGTAATTTGCATATTTGTCTTTATGTAATATAGATTTTTATCAATAAAACGACATCAAAACTGCAATTTTATATCTAATATTTCCTAAAACAAAAACAAAAACAAAAACCGATCACTCTAAAAAAAATTTAGAAATATAAATAGAAATATATATGGAAAGCCCCCAAAAAAGAAATACATAGTGAAAACCTACCTGAAACCGCTTAAATGATGGTGAGACCCCCCTGTTCTTCCAATGTCCATAAAATTCATAGACTCTGTATAAATAAAGATTGTATCAAACGGATTTCCCAGAATAATGTCATCTTCGATATCTACGTACGGAGGGCTTAGATTGTCACTTTTCAGCTAAAAATTGTCAAAATTTCAGGACAAAGAGCACAGGGCAATGGGGAGAGCCCCTGATCTCTTAATCTGCCTAATATTAAGCAGACAGTTAGTTAATAGGTAGATACAAACGTGACTAAAAGGAATTTGGGTACACTTCTTGTCTTCTATGTTTACGGAGGGCCCAAAGTGCCAGTTGGATATTCAAAATATATAGCGAAAACCAACCTTAGACCGCTTAAATGACGGTGAGACACCCCTGTTCTTTCAATGTCCATAAAATTGGACGAATTCATAGACTCTGTATAAATAAAGATTGTATCAAAAGGATTTCCCTGAATAATTTCATCTTCGATATCTACGTACGAAGGGCTTAGATTGTCACTTTTCAGCTAAAAATTATCAAAATTTCAGGACAAAGAGCACAGGGCAATGGTGAGAGCCCCCTGATCTCTCAATCTGCCTAATATTAAGCAGACAGTTAGCTAATAGGTAGATACAAACGTGACTAAAAGGAATTTGGGTACACTTCTTGTCTTCTATGTTTACGGAGGGCCCAAAGTGCCAGTTGGATATTCAAAATATATAGCGAAAACCTACCTTAGACCGCTTAAATGACGGTGAGACACCCCCGTTCTTTCAATGTCTATAAAATTCGACGAATTCATAGACTCTGTATAAATAAAGATTGTATCAAAAGGATTTCCCAGAATAATGTCATCTTCGATATCTACGGAGGGCTTAGATTGTCACTTGTCATCTAAAATTGTCAGAATTTCAGGACAAAGAGCACAGGGCAATGGTGAGAGCCCCCTGATCTCTCAATCTGCCTAATATTTAGCAGACAGTTAGTTAATAGGTAGATACAAACGTGACTAAAAGGAATTTGGGTACACTTCGTGTCTTCTATGTTTACGGAGGGCCCAAAGTGCCAATTGGATATTCAAAATATATAGCGAAAACCAACCTTAGACCGCTTAAATGACGGTGAGACACCCCTGGTCTTTTAATGTCCATAAAATTGGACGAATTCATAGACTCTGTATAAATAAAGATTGTATCAAAAGGATTTCCCTGAATAATGTCATCTTCGATATCTACGGAGGGCTTAGATTGTCACTTTTCATCTAAAATTGTCAAAATTTCAGGACAAAGGGCACAGGGCAATGGTGAGAGCCCCCTGACCTCTCAATCTGCCCAATATTAAGCAGACAGTTAGTTAATAGGTAGATACAAACGTGACTAAAAGGAATTTGGGTACACGTCTTGTCTTCTATGTTTACGGAGGGCCCAAAGTGCCAGTTGGATATTCAAAATATATAGCGAAAACCAACCTTAGACCGCTTAAATGACGGTGAGACACCCCTGTTCTTTCAATGTCCATAAAATTGGACGAATTCATAGACTCTGTATAAATAAAGATTGTATCAAAAGGATTTCCCTGAATAATGTCATCTTCGATATCTACGGAGGGCTTAGATTGTCACTTTTCATCTAAAATTGTCAAAATTTCAGGACAAAGGGCACAGGGCAATGGTGAGAGCCCCCTGACCTCTCAATCTACCCAATATTAAGCAGACAGTTAGTTAATAGGTAGATACAAACGTGACTAAAAGGAATTTGGGTACACTTCTTGTCTTCTATGTTTACGGAGGGCCCAAAGTGCCAGTTGGATATTCAAAATATATAGCGAAAACCAACCTTAGACCGCTTAAATGACGGTGAGACACTCCTGTTCTTTGAATGTCCATAAAATTGGACGAATTCATAGACTCTGTATAAATAAAGATTGTATCAAAAGGATTTCCCTGAATAATGTCATCTTCGATATCTACGTACGGAGGGCTTAGATTGTCACTTTTCAGCTAAAAATTGTCAAAATTTCAGGACAAAGAGCACAGGGCAATGGTGAGAGCCCCCTGATCTCTCAATCTGCCTAATATTAAGCAGACAGTTAGTTAATAGGTAGATACAAACGTGACTAAAAAGAATTTCGGTACACTTTTTGTCTTCTATGTTTACGGAGGGCCCAAAGTGCCAGTTGGATATTCAAAATATATAGCGAAAACCAACCTTAGACCGCTTAAATGACGGTGAGACACCCCTGTTCTTTCAATGTCCATAAAATTAGACGAATTCATAGACTCTGTATAAATAAAGATTGTATCAAAAGGATTTCCCATAATAATGTCATCTTCGATATCTACGTACGGAGGGCTTAGATTGTCACTTTTCAGCTAAAAATTGTCAAAATTTCAGGACAAAGAGCACAGGGCAATGGTGAGAGCCCCCTGATCTCTCAATCTGCCTAATATTAAACAGACAGTTAGTTATTAGGTAGATACAAACGTGAATAAAAGGAATTTGGGTACACTTCTTGTCTTCCATTTTTATGGAGGGCCCAAAGTGCCAGTTGGATATTCAAAACATATAGCAAAAACCAACCTTAGACCGCTTAAATGACAATTTTTAGCTGAAAAGTGACAATCTAAGCCCTCCGTAGATATCGAAGATGACATTATTCTGGGAAATCCTTCTAATACAATCTTTACATATACAGAGTCTATGATTAAGTTGAATTTTATGGACATTAAAAGACCAGGGGGGTCTCACCCTCATTTAAGCGGTCTCAGGTATGTTTTCACTATATATTTTGAATATCCAACTGGCACTTTGGGCGCTCCGTAAACATGGAAGACAGGAAGTGTACCCAAATTCCTTTTAGTCACGTTTGTATCTACCTATTAACTAAATGTCTGCATAATATTAGGCAGATTGAAAGATCAGGGGGCTCTCACCATTACCCTGTGCCCTTTGTCCTAAAATTTTGACAATTTTTAGCTGAAAGGTGACAATCTAAGCCCTCCGTAGATATCGAAGATGACATTATTCTGGGAAATCCTTCTAATACAATCTTTACATATACAGAGTCTATGATTAAGTTGAATTTTATGGACATTAAAAGACCAGGGGGGTCTCACCCTCATTTAAGCGGTCTCAGGTAGGTTTTTACTATATTTTTTGAATATCCAACTGGCACTTTGGGCGCTCCGTAAACATGGAAGACAGGAAGTGTACCCAAATTCCTTTTAGTCACGTTTGTATCTACC